TGCGGCCATTGTACTTCACGAGAACCATGTCGTGTCAGTTGCTTACCGCGGGTTCCACTGCGGCCGTCCTGGGTCAGTTATGACTGTACCGCACCTGTTCCAAGCTAGTGCACCCGAAGGTGCCATGCCGTCCCTCAGATGTGCCACTGTACCGTATCAGATAAGCTGAATTGCCATCATACTGTCTCGAACCTGAAATAATCGCCGTGTTAATGTCGAGCCTGAAGTAAATCACCGTGACGGCGCCGACCCCGAAATAAACCATCCMAGTACGAGGTCGCACCTACCCACACTGAATACCGTAGGGCGCCGCCTTACCTGGGTAACGCCGAACCTGAAGTAAGTATCCGTGATCCGTGATGATTGATCTGAAAATAACCCACGGTGATAGTCCCGAACCTGATATAAAATGCCGCAATGTTTCCGGGCCTGAAAACAAACTGTCGCCAAGGTTCCAAACCTGGAATAACTGTCGTAGTGGTCCCGGTCCTGAGAATTGTCCCAAACTTGAAAATAAGTCACCGTAGTGAAACAGCTGTCACCGGGCCCATACCGAACCTGAAACACGTCAGACACCGTAGGACGTAGCCACTCCGTAACAACTCTCATATCTGTACCGAACCAAACACGGTCGCCCCGGCATAGCACCATCCCCCACGCCGTCCATGCAAACATCCTCGAACTGACTCAGTGAAGTTAGTACTTAGGCAAATCGAAAAAACGACACGGAAAATCTCAATCATCGGGGTATAGTGAAGAAGGTTAAAATCCAACGAAAACGATTAATCTGAATTTAGAGCTAATTGTGGTTAATCCAGGCAGGTTCAGATCAGACTCTTAATAATTCTCGTTCCTTTCATCGCTTTCAATCATTCTTCCTTTTTCCTAGTACTATTGTATGAATTTGTAATATATCCGTAGGTTCACCAAAAATAATTCTCGAGGGAGTTTTAATAAAAATATTAGAATTCTTTTGTTTTTTTTCTCCTTTATTTTTTTTTTAATCTTTTTCTTTGTGCTTGATTCCATTGCTGAAAATATAAAATAACGAGGTATTTTCTCCAAAATTTAAATGCCGCAGAAAACAAGGAATTAAGAAATACTACATTTTTCTCCCCTCCTACTGTTCTTAATCTTTTCTCCCATTTTTAATTTAGGTACCAAAATTGACAAAAATTTGAGGCGTTATTTCGGCCCCGATCATATGCTGCAAAAGCATTGCGGCGGGGTCAACCCACGCAATGCCTCCCTGTGGCCGGCCATCCCAGGTCTAGCCTCGGAACGGGCAGAAATGACGGTCCCTAGATGTGCCGGGAGCGGCTACCCATTTCGCCATCTTGAGGGTTACTCGTAAGGTTCAGTGCGTCCAAAATCAGGGATGCCTTGAGTTCCCCTAATTCTTGCTGCTTGGTCAAACCAGAGTACTGTGAAAACACGGACTTGTTCTTGAGCCCAAGTCCCAAAGCCGCAGATTTCAGGCGGCGCGATACTTGTGGCCGCCTGACAGTTAGCCCGGACCACTTCTCGACGCCCCCGTCGAGCCCTATCCACTTACGTCAAACGAAGCGGACGAGCTTCAGAGTGATTGTCGGTAAAGGACGCCCACGTCGTCGTTTAATTGTCTTATGTTTCAGTTTGTTATGAGTTCTGGGACTAAGAAGATGCTTCTTGACTCCCCTTTTTCTTCGAAAATTTGGCCTGGATAGGATTCTCTCTCTCTTCTGACGTCGGCCCGAGAAAGGTGCTGACTCGTCAGCTTGTCTAATACGAACTCTCCGTATGACTCTCCTTAGCACGAATAACCATTTCTTCCTCTTTCTCATCGTCAACCCTTTGACCTTTCTTTTCTCCACTCTTTTCCTCTTCTTGGAACTTTCCCCTGCCTCTAATCGTCTCGAGGAGACTCCATCCTCCATTTTGGCCTTCCCTTTCCCTTTCGGGCCTGTCAGCGATAAGGTGGGTGTTGGCCTGGGTCTAAACAACTTTAACCTAGCACTTGCCACTGGGTCCTTCCACTTGGATCCGTCTAATTCTGCTATCATATAGGCACCCCAGTCGAGCGCCTCAACCACTCTGTAAGGTCTCATCCATCTGTTGGCGAGTTTTCCGGTTCAGGTCCTTTCCAGTGCTGCGTCGTAGAGAAGGACCATATCTCTTACGCTCACCCTCTCTTTCTTGATACGCACGCCCTTATCCCATCTCTCTTTACCTTTGTCCCTCTTCACTGCCAGACGATCTGTCGTTGTCATAAGGTTGTCTTCCAAACCGTAGGCTATCTGTCTTGTTCGAGGAGTTATGGGTTCCTCTCTGGTCATCCTTTCCGCCCAGTCGACGGTTGTCCAGCTGTCGACGTGAAACTCTATGGGGAGAGGACAATGTCGTCCGAACCACAAGGTGTATGGTGGGTATCCTGTGCTAGCCCGGACCGTGACGTTGTCCGCCCATATTGCGTATCGAAAATATCGTGGTCAATCGCTGTCCTTTCCTTTGCACCACTTGGATAGTGACGCTATCAGAGTCTGGTGTCCCCTCTCTACTGGAGAGTTCGACTGTGGGTGGTAGGCGGTGGCTATCGAAACCCTCGCCCCGGCTCTCTTGAACACACTCTGAACCTCATCAGCTAGAAATTATGCCCCTCTATCCATCACTATCTTGCTGACACAACCATACCTAGATAAGTACTCTAGGACGAAGTTCTTCACTTCCCTAGCCGTCTTACTCCTGATAGGTCTACCATCCACGAATCCAGTGAAGTCGTCTCGTATGTTCACAACATAGTTGATATTGCCCACTCCTTTCGCCATCTTCACCAGATCGATGTGTACCTTCTCTCCTGGCCTGGTCGGGTAGGATGGATGAAGTGGCTCTTTGTATTTCACAAGAGCTCTCTTCTGGCAATCTTCGCAGGTTATACAGTATCTCTCGACGTCTTTATACTGTCTCTCCCACCAGTACAGTCTGCGTACCTTTTCGTAGGTTCCTTTGACTCCTCTATGTCCGTCGACTACCCTGTCGTGAAGCTCCGCAATTATCGTCTGTCTCTCTTCAAGATCACAGACTACTCGCAAGGGCATCCCCGACCCGACTGGTCTTCGGAATAGATGGCCCGCTCTAAGGCAGTACTGGGCCGCTTGTCTCCGGATATCTAAATCTTGACTCTCCTCTCCTGACAAATGTAGCCCGATCGTTCGGTATTTGCCCTCGTAAAGGTTAACCAGAAATCGATCGGCGCGTCTCGGCTCCGCCATTGTCAGGGCTCCAACTACTGTCGGGCGCTCGGCCTCAAGAGGGATCCGAGAAATCCCATCCGCCACTGCATTTTTAGTACCCGATATTCTCTCAACTGTGTAATCATAGAGTCGAATCCGTATTAACCACCGCGCGATGGTCGGGTCCGTCAGACTAAAGTTCTTCAGGAGGACAGAGGCGACCGCTGTGGGATCTACTCTTAAGATGAACCGTCGTCCATAGATATAGTGTCTGAACGTGTCTAGACACCGCAGAATAGCTAACACTTCCTTCTTGAATTGACTGTAGTTACGCTCAACCGTATTAAGTGTCATACTCTCAAATCTCAACGGTCTTTCCTTCCCTTCAGCGTCCTTCTAAGACAGCAACCCACCAATTGAACAAGGTCCATCATCCGTGGATACTATGAAGGGTCTCCCAACCTCATCATCAAAGAATGGCACGCCCAGAACGCGCCCTCCCTCCTTAAATTCATGTTTAAGCTCTTGCATAGCGAGTTCCTGAGAAGAATCCCAGTAGAACTTCTCAGTCTTCCGAAGGAGTACCCTCAATGGCTCAGCCTTCTCCGCATACCTGCGTATGAAAATCCTCCAGTAACCGACCACTCCCAGAAATTGACGGACCTCGGTAGCGCTATGCAATGGCGATGCCCAATTTAGGAGTTTGTCTAACTTTGCTGGATCTGCTCGGCGTCCTCTTGAGTCGCAGATAAAGCCTAAGATCTTAATAGTCGAGACGGCCCACCGGCTCTTTGTTCCGCTGACCGTCAAATTTGCATCGTCCAGCTGCTCAAGTATCGCGCAAACATCGGTTAGGTGCGGCTCGACGAATCTTCTAACCCCTGGGACGACCTCTGTCTCATCTTTCTTTATTGGTCCTTTTATAGGAAAGTCATCCAAAAAAACTTCAACCTTATCAGGAATAAAGTCCCTGAGGACGGCCACCATGGCTCTCTGAAAAACGGCTACCCCATTAGTCCAACCCATTGGGACGACCATCATCTATATCAGTCCCAATGGCGTGTGCATAGCCGTGAGGTGCCTGTCCCTGGGATCAAGCAGTACCTCATCATAGCCTGAGAAAAGATCACAGACCGAATAAATCGACCTGCCCCCGGCGCCTTCTGCCAGTAAGTCGGCGTGAGGCACGGAGCCTACGTCTCGAATCGTCACCGCGTTGACCTTCTGAAGGTCCTGGATCCACCGGATCTTGCCATTCGGCTTCCGTAGGAAGAACCATCGATTAACATAAGCGCTATCAGATGGCTCTGCAACATGAGAAGCCATTTTTTCTTTCAGGAAAGCGATAACCTCTTCCTTCTTCTTCTGGGCGTATTTCCATCCTGCGTCATTCCATGGAACATGTGGAATCGTATAAATCCTTGCTGGCTTAGCGTATCGAGGGCCAACCCTACAGCGCTCCACGTCGCTGAAAGCTATAGCCTTATCACACGTCTTTAGGATTTCTATCACACGCTCCCGCTCCTCTGGGGTCAGATTTCCATCTCCGATGTCCATCCCCGCTATCCTCTCTTCCATTAGGCGTTGCGGCTCCTTTTTTTTTCTTTATTTAACTTCCTTTGCGATCTCTTCCTCCGATACCTCTTCCAGGGCAGATCGCTCGCGGCCCACTGCCGCTGGCTTAACTTTCTGAGCTACTCGCTTGTGTCGCTTGGGTAGCCCCCCATAGGGGGCCGTGCCCTTAAAAAAGACACAGATACCACGCCGCCAAATTCCTCATCTGCCTCCTTTGGATACAAGTTGTCGTCCACTATCAGCCGACTCCCTAAATCCTCCACTTCTACAATCCGGCCTTCTTCTTCTATGAGCAAAAATCCATATTTCTTCTCGCGAAATCGCACTGCGGGCCGGAGATAGGTAATGACTTAATCCGATCATTGGGTCCTGCTTCCACAGCGAGAGTTGCCCTGTTCCTCGGGTCTCGAGGCTCCACCATCTCAATCATTATCCGCGCCCCATCTAGCTTCTTAATGGACAGTGTCTGGCTCCCATCCGGTCGCTCTATCGTTACCGCATGTACATGACTCAGCCACGTCTGTCCCAAGAGCAGGTCAGAGCTGCAGTTCTTGACTGCAAAGACCGGCAGGGTCACTCGTACCCCTTGGACCTCTATGGCTGCCTTGTGACAAACCTCGGTGATCTGTTGTTTTTTCCCATCAGTCGTCTCTATCTCGAATAAGTATGACCTATCGAGTCCCAGTCCAACTCGCTCTGCTAGATCCTCGTCTATAATGACAGCCTCACTGCCGTTATCGATCACAGCATCTAAAATCGCTCTGTCATTTAGGATCGCCTCCACTGTCCCACTACGAAGTATGTAAAACTTGTCTGGAGGCACACCTTCCATCCCATCAAGAAGGACTGTCGCCATGCGATCTGCTCTAGCAGTCACCTCCGATACTGCCACAGTAGGAGCGTCCGCCTTTGGGGCCACCTGAACCTCCTCTGATAGAGGTATGCGAGTCTTCCGCGTGATCATCTGTAACTCGTCGCGAGCTGGCTTGGATGCTGCCAGATACTCTAGAATTGAGCACTGCATGGGCTGCCGAAGGGCTCGTCTCAGTGGCTCGACCGTGTCAATCTCATCCCGCGAACTCTTCATCAAAAACTTCTTCACTCCCCGCTTTCGCGGTGAAAGAATTACCTCCTCTCCATCGATCCGCTGTCCATCCTTCTCCGCCATCACGTAATCCGTGTAAGTCTTCTTCGATGTAGACCCTCTCGCCGACTTGGTAGCTGCCACCCTTATGGGTGTGGTTGCCATATCTCCTTCGAAAGTTATCTTGATGCTCTGGCCCCTAACTGGCTTCTTTCCTTTACTCGGCCTTACTCTACTTGCTTCTACATTCTCCTTCATCGAAGGAAACATTGATACGTCTCCCAGATCATCTGCCCACTTGACGTACTTGCGGTCATCAAGCACGACAAGTCCCTCATCTATTGCCCGTTTGAGATCCGGGCAGTCTCTCTTGATATGATCATCTCCTCTACAGTAGACGCAAGAGTTCCTGGGAGTGGGTGGCTTGTCGTCTGCGCTCCTAGAGGTCGAACCCCTCGCTGCTCTGGGGTCAGGGGACTTTGTATGTGGATCGGATGACGCGCCATATCCCCCTCTCTCATTCCGGCCATGCGAATCATTGCGGCGGTCTCCTCCGGATCCTCCTTGCTCATGTCGTCCCCGTGAGTCATTCCGGCGGTCCCCATGGTCGTATCGTCCGCGCGACTCATTGCATCGATCTCCTCGGTCATACCACCCCCGCGAATCAGCACGCTGCGCCCTCGTGAATCCCCCACGATCATACCGTTCGCGCGAGTCATCTCGTCAGTCTCCGTCTTGTTCTCCTCTCTCATACCTGTCACCCCTGTATCCATCGCGATCCGACCTCTCATATCTGTCGTCCCTATATCCATCTCGGTCCAATCTCTCATATCTGTCATCCCTGTAGCCGTCTCCCTAGCCCTGATCTGACTCCCACCGGCCTCGAGAGTCGCCTCTACCCCCATCAGCCTCATAGCGAGGGCTGCGCGAGTAATCATCCAGTCTCCTAGCTCGCCCATACGTCTCGCGAGCCCTGCGGTCCCGGTTTATATCATCATCCCTACGTCGCCATGGCTCATCGTCTTTCTCCCTTTCCCTCGCACGATAATCAGTCAGCGTTCGAGGATTTCTATCCTCGACACTCCTCCAGGAATCAGTGTTCCTCCGGTCCCAGCGAAGTGAATAGGGTCCTCCGGGTTTGTCCCGGTAAGTCGTGTCGTCGCTTCTCGTCGAGCCCTCGAGGTCCCAGTCTTCAGAGCCTCCTGCGGCTCTGTCACGACCGGCTCGCCCATTTCGTCGGGCTCTCCGTCATTGGTTTGGTCAACCCATCTCAGCGGTGCTCCCTGCCTAATTCGTTCCTTCAGATCCCTCAGTGCTCGGTCGGGCGATGTCCTGTACTCCTCTCCTACTTCGCCCGTGGTCGGTTGTGGCCCCATCGTGTCTGGTTCCATAGGCTACCAGAAATCGTAGTTGGGCACTCACGCCAGGCGCTACAGCCCGGACCTATGACAGTTGCAGCATCCCGGACTTGTGACAAAACTCACAGCAGCCCGGACCTGTGACAGAACTCTCAGCCCGGACCTGTTTTCTTTTCACGGTTCGCGCTCGTCTCCAATACTAGCTCTCGACTTCCCTGATTACCGCCACCAGTGCTCCGTTCCGGTCGCGGACCTCGTGCTCTTCTTCTATCCCAAGAATCCCAGTGTCTATATAAACCTCTCCCTCGGGATCTGCCAACAAGGTCGCGCCTCTCCTGATCGGCACTACACCCGTGACAGGATCTCTACTCCTGCCGCAGATCGCAGTCCCAAGCCTAACCAATGTCTCCTCACTGACACCCCTCAAGAGTCCTTGAGCGTCGATCTCTGTCCTCCTCACTAGATCATCTAGTCCGTACTGAATCGTGTAGCCCGCGAACGGAGGAAACTCTCCTCCTACTGCCATCTAAAGCCGCCCATCTGACCTCACTGACCTCCACTATCTTTCCAAGAGCTTCCAATTTCTATTTCTCCTCCTTTTACTCCCAGACAGCTATAAGGTCATCTGTCTAGTATCTGAGGGAAGTCAGTACTATAGTCGCTCGTAATCTCATCGCCGACAACTCCAATATATCATAGAACGTCTCAAAATCTTCCTCATCTCCACTATACTCTATGGTCTCTAAAGTCTTTATCGATTCCCTCCAGTATTGGTCGTGAGCAGCTAACACTTTCAGTATTGCTCCGTCTACTATAACTCTCCCTAACTCCCCAGCTCTCCTGGCTTCGCTTATCTTCAGCCTCTCAGCCTCTCTGGTCGTCTCGTACCATGCCCTTATTTGAGACTGCCCTTCGAAAGATGTTACTCGAAGTACATATTTTATCCTTCGTCCTCCTTCCACTCCAATCCGAAGTCCTGTTCTCCTTGCCTCACGCAATGCACGGCGAACATACTCTGCCTCCTCAATTATGCACAACCTGGTATGGAGCTGGAGCTCTGCGATCACTAACACCAACGGTCCGTCCAGTCTCCCTACCACATGCAATGAGTATCTATCCGTCATGTGTAGGGTCGTCTCGCTCGTGTCTTGTTGCTATCTCCCTGCGTTACCTTGTCCTCCGTTGTCATGTCCTCTGCAGACTTCTCCCTAGCTCCTTCGCGTGATAGGTTCCTAGCCTTTACCCTCACCAGAAAGTCTGATCTCCACGCCTGGATAATCTCTCTATCCTCCCTGAACAAACTCTCTAACTCTTTCGTCATGAGCTCAACCCTACGCAGCTTGCCCTCATCATGGCACGACCCGATCTCCCTTATCTTGTTCCCAAACTCCTTTACCTGGTTCAAAAGTGGTCCTTTAATGCGTTTTCTCACTCTTCCGACCGCCTCACCTTCCTCTTCCATACTCTGTCCACATCTTTCTTCAGCTCATCCTCATACCCTCGCTCTAGCCTCTGCTACCGTCTCATCGTGGTAGTGCTCCACGCGCATATAACCATGAGGCCATACCATCACATTATAGAAAATCGAGGTCTGGAAGGTCACCTGCGCCAGCACATCAGCCCTATGCTCGCGGATCAAATCCCTGGCTCGTAGTTGGCACTCCCTCGCTGTCAAGTCCTCATCTATGTATACTCGGAGAAGTACCGTCACAGTGTACCCTGTGCTCACCAGTTGCTTATCAAAGCGCGTCACAGTTGCCGTTCTTCCCGGCATCCCCTAAGTTGTGACCTCTTAGAGAAACCTCACATCCTCCAGCCCCACATAATCAATCTCCGCTCGTCTCCTGTAGTACCCAATAAGATCAACTGGCCTCAGACAGTCCACCCAGCAAGTAACGTCTATGATGTCGTCAAGCGTCTCTCTGCTGGGTGACCCCCACCTTACACAAATGGCGTAGTATGCTTCCCTGAAACGGGGAGCTAAGCCCTCCCAAAGCATGTAAAGTGCGTGATCCACTGCTATACTCAGACGGTCTACGCTCCCGTAGGTCTGCCCTATTACGAACGCAGAAAGTCCAAACGCTCCCCCGAGTATGAATGGAGGGAAACTAGGGCGGATAGGCACGGGGACGACTGGAGAGAGAATTCACGAGACTCCTATTGGAGGGACAGAGACAGGGATAGAGCACCGCCCCGGCGTGTCTTCGACCCCCAGACGGGGGAGTCCCATCCGCTCCCTTACAAGAGCAAGAACCGCTACATTATTACGCACAAGGCATCGGAGTCTCCTACTTTCAAAGGCTATGGTATCACGGAATATCTGGAGAAGTGGGAGCTTCATGCTAGCTGGAGTCAGTGGTCGGAGGAAGAGATTATAGAAAACTTCCTATTCAATGTAGATCCAAGTTTCGTTAAGGAAGTTAAGGAAGCCCGACCGAAGGATGGAAAATGGACTACATATAAGAAGAACCTTATTGAGCTTTACAAATTAGAGGATAACAAGTACTCCATCAAGGACCTTGAGACTATGACTCAAGATGAAGATGAAAGCGTACGGGCGTTCGGGAAGCGTTTTCAGAAGATCTCTGACGTACCAATGAAGAAGGGGAAGATCTCAGAAGTCGGGCGCTGTACGATCTTCATTGGACACCTGTCCAAAGGTAGACAAAAGAGTATACTTAGAGATCTCCCGCGCGACAAGCTTGACTTCCCTGAAGTCCTAAAGCTCGCGATAAAGGCACAGGCAGACGACTACAAGGACTTGGTATGGAGAGGAATAAGGAGGCGTGATTTCCCTCTCTATAAGGAGTATACCACTGATAGATGTCCTGATTTCAAGGACTATCCCTGGTCGGAAAAGAATGAAGCCGTGGCTGAGGAAGTGAAGGAGATAAGGGACATGGTAACCTCTTTCAGGTAGAGGGTCGGATGCGGAGGCCCGTATACCAAGCGACCCCAGTACGACCTCCCTCCTGAGAGTCTCGCCAATTGCTGATTAACTATCACTCTGGTCAACAACTCGTTTCTCCACCAAGCCCTGCTAGCCCCTGCGAATGTCAGTCCTATGTCTAAATCATGAGCTTTGTCCGTTATCAGATGTCCGACCTCTTCTAGGTCATGAGTCCTTTCGGGTCGTCTATCTTTCAGTATCATCATCCAAAGGAAAAGTTCCTCTGCCATCCGCGTTCCAAGGTAACGTATCGGAACACAGCCTGTCTCCTCCAGCCTCAAGGGAAGAGGAATATCATATCCAACAGTCGTCTCTCTGGGTCTGACAAGTTTTCTCACGCTATAGGATTCGGACTCTCGTGAGAGAACATAAGCTAGCCAAGCCGCCGAGTCACTCCTCATCTCCATTTCGCCACTCGATCTGTATCACCCTACTCCCTTCGACGCACCTTATCTCACGATGTTGCTGACTCCTCAGACAACTCTCCCACTCAGGTCCAGTATGGTCGAGTAGGTGCTGTGCACTCTCCCGTCAGCTTCATGGAAGTAGATAGTAAACTCGATGTATCTCTAGCCTCTCCGTATCTCCAGGGCATGCTCCGTCATGAGTCTGATCTGTCGCTCAACATTGTCCAACGCCTCTTCTTCTCAGCCGCCCGTCCTATCTCGTCGTAAGGAAAGAGTCACTCTCTGTGTATCCCTGTCTTCCATCCCTTCCTGCTCTTACTGCCACTCTCGTCTTGCCTAAAGTTTCTCCCTTTGCCTACTAACCGATCTCCTACTCCCTTCTCTAAGCTACGCCCGGATATGCCCTGCCACTAATCGTCTCGCGCATCTGGCATATCCTCATCTCCATCCTCATCTACCCCCTGACCCCATGGGATATCCTCCTGTCCCTCGGCCTGAAGGAGATGTCCCCAACCGTCCTCCTGCGGCCCGTCTATATCGGCGCCAATCTCGCCCTGCCCTACGTCAGGCACGTCTCTCCACAATCTCTCGTCTTGTCCCCAAGGCTCTGCGTTGCTGAGGTGTTCCCAGTCTCGATCGTCTGCGTCCCAGCCGAGCTCCTCTCTATCTGGATATATCCCCTGGTAATGCTCCTCCAACTCCCAGATAGAGATGAGGGAAGGAGGTCTATCACCGGGAGTCTCGCTAAATAGTCGTCCGACCCCCTCCAAACTATCCACTGGTCTCTGGAACTCCCTATCTAGTGCCAGCTAGAACTCCAAGGGTTGGCCCGGGAAGGAAGAGTGGGGGTCTGCTGTAGGCGCTGGAGTACGTAAGAACTCTATGAGTTGTATCCCCCTCTCTCCAGTAAGAGGCCCGCCTACGAACTGTGCGTAGGCAATCCAGTCCCGGTCCATCTGCCCTCTAACTAGTCCGTCGAGCTCTAGAGCCGTGAAATATCTCTCCCCGACGCGCCCCAAGCCCCAAAGCTACTCCACTACAAAGACCGGGAACCTGGCACGTAGTCGGACTGTCGGGAAAGCAAACCCTCCTATCCGAAACGTAATCCTCGTCTCCCTGACATGCCCATACAGATCCTCAATCCCCTCTCATGCACTCTCTATCACGCCTGTCAGGATCTCTCTAACCTCTCTCTCATACCGTCAGAACCCATGCACCAAGCTCTGGATATAGACGACGCCGCTCACCTCACGTGAGTAATAAATATGCCCTACGGCCTCTATGGACGTCGTGCCAGGCGTCCGCCACCTTTGCGGATCAGACTCGTAAGTCTGAACGGTATATGACCATAGGTGCACGTCTGGCCCCAGCCGAGTCGACCCCCAATGGTCAATCAGCCCTGGCTCATCGACGCATCTGGCCGGTAGATCAAGCTCAACCAAGTCAGGAGCTATGATCTCGGGTGGTCTAGGCCATCTGAAATCACCAAGGGTAGGTCGACTCTCTCGATCCCCTCTACCATCTGCCTGCAGGATCTCCTATCTCACTCTCTCACTCTACTGCCGAATAGCCTAGCTCACACTCGCCTCGCAGCACAATCTGCCTAGGCCCTAATTGGTACTCCTATGCGTGGGAAGTGCGCATCTGCCGTGTCGTCCTCCTGCTCGTCAACCTCACTCTCTGGGTCAACCAAATCCGGCTCCCACGCGTCCTCGCCGTCCTCTCGCTCCCACCCCTCGTAGTCGTACTCGTCCTCCACACGATACGGATGAAGTCCAAGTGTCTTCTAGTAACGACTCAACTGATAATCACGTATCAGAGGTCCGCTAGGGGCCTCGCTCAACAGACTCTCCCAATCCTCCCAAAAGAGTCTCCCGACACCGGTGACGTACTCTGGCCCTGTCCGGAGCTCGCGATCCAGCCAGCTCCAAACGTACGAGGGTGGTGCTACTCCTCTCTCGCAATCGTCCCCTAGCGAGTGGATCAACTCTATCAGCTGAACCCTCTCGTCTCCCCAACGGAGCCCCCCTGTCGTGAGGGAGTAGTATATATAGCACTCGTCTAAACTACTCCTGACAAACGCCTCCATCTCCCTATAGGCTAGGTACGACTCCACGATAACTCCTATGCCTCCAAAGACGGAGTCCACCACGAAAGAGGGGAGGATAGCTCTCAGACAAGTACCAGAGTACGGAAAGAACGAGTCTCGCGCTATCAAGAGCTCGCCCGAAACGTCAAAAGGAGCCCGGCCGTGAAACAGGGTCAATGGATCCTGCGTGTCGTCCGCGCGGAACTCATCAATCTCCTGCTGCAAAAAATCCTGGGCCGTGTCGATAATCGAGCTGGCCCCCCTAATCGCTAAGCTCAAAGCAGCCCCCTTGGCTGCCTCCTCCCCTAAGTAAGATAAGCCCGTACTACTCCTCGCGTCTGACCCCCATACTCCTCCGTCTCATGTTGTCTGTATATCCACAGCCAAGCATCAGAGGTCAGGAAAACAGACCTCCACTGAAAATCTCTATCGAGGCACTCAGTAGGCCGCCCGGGAAGGGTGAGCTCCACCTGGTCGCCCTCTATAAGCTCCGGAGCCTCTATCTCCCATGCGCGGCTGGCCTCGTAGATCTTGATCGGGGCTGGGGGCCACATCAGACTGATGCATAGCTAAGAAGTGGGAAGAAAATCAGGAAGTGATAGTAAGAGAGAAGAAGTTACTGGCGATTCTAGGAAAAATTCGGCAGCGCTCCACCTCCCTTCGTTGGGAGCCCCGATATTATGTTGTCGATCTATCTCCTATCTATCCCAAGAGTCCCTATGGTGCCAATGGGCGGAATCCCGGCCCCAAACAAGGCAAACCAACTCTATAGTCGAGTTCCCTTTAATACAAGGCGTGTGCCCTGTTCGAGGGAACGCTGCCTGCGACTGCTCCGGTCACCCCTCCGGAGTACAGATGTCACTCTCTATCTCAGAACCAAAATTAGCAGGCCGTCACCTTCTTTCGGCTATTTTTCTATGCCATTTTCATATTTTTAAAGAATTCTAATAAAATTAAATTACTAAAATTACTTTTAATCTACAGAAACGTACTGGCTCTCCTCCATTACCTAGGGGCATATAAGGTTTCCCCTAGAGAGTAGCGTGGCAAGTACGTTTCTCTTTCCGGCACACATTGAGTATTTATTTTGAATTTATATTATATAAATACCAAATAAATAAATTTTAATTAGGGAAAATTTCCGCTGCTGGTCCCAACCCTCAAGAGGGGGTAAGGGAACAACCCTATACTTTTTCTACTCCATTTCCCTTCCCCTTTTCTTACCTAGGGAATTTTTTTGTATTTAACTGTATTTAATTTATAAAAATTACCTTTACGTAAGATACACCCCCTTTCTTATTTTACACATACTTATATTCCTCGTATATGTTTTTTGGGCAAAATTGCTCGACCTCAAGGGTCCCGGACAGATT